GTAGCCCAGGATGGACAAATCAAACACTGGCTCTAAATAGGGCCATTCATGTTTTCATGACGGGTACCATGGTTTTCTGCAACCTCACTGCTAGATGCCACTCAATCCTACACAGTAGACCAGTGACTGCAACCTTTTCTATTCCAAAGCGCCATTTTTAGCAAAAATAAAATAAAAATAATAATGATAATTCTGTCTGGAGTCACAATACATATTTGAGCCCTATAATGAAGGTAACACAGCCTGCTAAGTCTAAATTAGCTATCAACTTATGGGTCTGAACAGGCACATGACAGAAACTGATATACAGTGTCCACCAATAGGTTTGGCGTCTTAGTGTTTATCGTATGATTATACCAGAGACTGATATACACTGTCTGTGAGATTTAAATAAAATCAAGAGTGACAGCAAAATATGCTGCTGTGTCTTCTAGATTTGTGTAAAAGCTACTAACACCGATTAGTTTTGCTTTAACATCATTAAAAGGTATGGCTTAGCAAAAGGTGAAGCCTCATCTTCCTTTACATGCTCAATTATCATCATCCAGCTCAACGCTAAGACTGTTCACAAACCCAAACAGAATGGCAGCGCTGTAAATACTCGCTGTGTGTGTAGACATGACTGTCATCATGCCCAGTTTTAAAATCCTTATGTGAGTGTGAGGAGTGAAGAACGCAAACTTGTGTGGAAGTCAAGGTGACCTGCTGCTGGTGAGAGAAATGGGAGGTGAGGATTATGTTGGCACACACAGATCCCTATATTTCTCATACCTGCTATTAATTTTAAAAGCCACTGTTAAATAGAGGGGATATGGTATTATTTCCCAGCAGTTATAGCTGTAATTTACTGCTCTCTCCACTTGAACGACTCAATTCATATGACTGCCACCTGCTTTCACATTTCCACCGCTCCTACCAATCCAGGTTAAATTTCTGCCTCCAGTCTTTGTCTCCATCTTCTCTGCTTCACTCACTTTCTTGCAGCCTATAACTCTCTAAATTTACTTTGCCACCCACCCTGACATCACTCCCTCATTTTCCATCTCTACTTCAATTCACTTTTCCTCCCTCCCTTCCCTTAGCCTCATTCAGAAGAAGGCTTTTGTGATTGGCCAGTATTTATATCAACTAGGTCCCAGTGCCACCTGGGACAATGGTCTCCAGTCAGATCCAGGTCACACCGAGCAGAACCATTCTTTCGGCTCTGCACAGATCAGTCCAGTCCAGTCCAGTCCAGTCCATCTGCCACACGAGCCAGCTTCACAGACAGACATAGGTACTGCACCGACTCACCCACTGGCATCACACACAGACACACACACACACACACACACACACACACACAGGTAGGTAGGCACACACACACACACACACATCAGCAGGTGCTGCATCACTGCTCCCGTTTGCCTCACACACAAACAGGTAGACAGTGTGAGATCTGGCTGACTGCACTAACCTGCATCATGCACACAGGTGAATATTCACACAAAGCTTACCTCTGAGCCCAGGAAGACCTTTGTCAAAGTGATATCGGTTTTCACAGCAGATGGCAGCCCTGGCAGTGATGCTGAGAGGCAGGTAAAGGTAAGTGCATGTAACCTGCATGTTTGACAGTAGTGTAAAACACAACAGTAGATTATATGTGCAGTGTGTGATGCCAAAATGTCAATAGTATAGTGGAGAGACATTGTAAAGGGGCAGTAAACGCAGCATCACTCATATTGTATTCCCACTTAGCATTGTGTTAATTTAACACAATGGCAGTATTTTAACAAGCTGAAGGAAGCTGTGACTACATTGTTTATTCTTCCTGCTGTAGATAAATAAATTATAGGGGCACACAACAAACAACTGGCCCTCCAAATGTAGGCTAACTTGCCCCAGTGCTGGTACGGACTCACCGCCAGTGTTTCACAGTTACTGGAGTAGTTTACACAGGATTACCGGAGGATAATCCATTTACAGTATTTAGAGACATGAGTCGCCATCTGTCAGTATTTATCACAGCGAGGGAGCCGTCAGCACTGACTGACAGCAAACAAAACACTTCTCCGGTAAGATAAAGCTGTAGAGAACAGTGTTAGAAAATGCTACCAAGCTAACATTACTGTAGACTTGCTAATTATGAAGTTTAGCTAACGGTTAATTGATGGGTCCCAACGGCTGTCGCGACCTTTAAACTGCGCGCGCACTCCGGCCAGGTTGTTGAGATTTGCTGCCTTCAAATGCTGTCGTAAACTCCACCTTCTATCATGTCGTGTTGCAGATTCCTTCGCAGCTAGCGTCAAGGTTAATGGCCCAAAATATTCCCGTTTTATTTTAGGTTGTACAGTAGAGTAACACTGAAGAGAATACAAACACATGAGCCGTCAAAGTGATGTTCAGTAATGCTAATTAACTTAGCAAGTTGAGTAAACAACTGAAATGCACAAGCTGTAGCTTCAGTTTTTTAGTTGGTACATAATGTGAAGACAATAAGAGCAAAAAGAGGTAAATCACAGGCACCAATATTAACCCTTTCACGCTTAGTGGTCAGCTATTTAAAATGCATTTTCTTGTATACCCCCCTCACATTTTGGGGTTACTTTGGGTGTACTTCCTCCTACTTAACTTGCACCTGTTGTCCTCGTTCATGGACACTTTTTGGTCCCATCTAGTGGCCCTGGTCAATCTAGTCTAGTCTAGTCAATCTTGACTATCTCGAGGGAGTAAATGTCATAACAAGGTTTCCCTCAGTGAACATGCAGAAGGATCTTTTGTACAATACATTAATCCATGTAAAACAAGATGGCAGTCATGTCTGCCAAGTCAGTCTGCAGCTGACCCCGACACAAAAGTGGACAGGGTCCAAAATCTGATCACATTTCATGGTTGAAACGTGTTCACTTATGATCAGTAATGTTTGTAGTTTGATATGGAATACAAATGTGACTAATTTTAGCAACAGTAACAAGCTAAGACACTGTTAATTAGGAAGTATTGTTTGAGGACACTGGGACATTATGATCATTGACAGTGTTTCGTTTTTTATACTTATCGGGTCCTACTGATCCCAAATAGCTAGGAGAAATTAAAAATGCATACCAAACAAAAAAGTGGGTCTCAGGAGGACATGCAGTGGTTTTACTTTTATAGTTGCACGTAAACCACTACAGTGGACCCTAGTGTGTCACGACACACACTGCCACCCACTGGCCAGGTGTTTAAGTGTTCTAGTCATTAGGTCATACAAGTCGTGTTGTGTGGGCAGTGTGTCAAACTTAGGTAGTAGCTGTCTAACCATATTATTAATTTGAAGGTAATGAAAGAAGTGACCTGGAGGTAGATTGAATTTTGCTTCACCCATAGGTTTCTGTAGGTGAGCCTTAGAGATGCAGGAGGTTTGTTGGCCCAAGTGAAGGCCATAATGATAGAGTCTAAAGTCTTATAAAAGGAAGATGTGAGGTAAATAGGGATATTCTGAGACATAAAGAAATTTAGGAAGAACCACCATCCTAACAATATTCATGTCCTATTAAAGAGAGAGAAAGAAGTTTCCATTTATCTATCATTATCTTAAGCTTGTCAATCATGTCCAAAAAGTTGTATTTCAATAAGGAAGTTTGGGTTTATGGTGATATTGATCCAAGTGTTGTAAGTGCAACACAAATTTCTCAAAACCAAGATGGTTGACGAGATGCAACAGATGTGTAGCTGATAGGAGACCCTTGCAAGTAAGAAAAATGGTAACATCAAGTAACATCTAAGGAGTAATACTGTTATTAAAAATATCCAAGTATTGATTTTATGTTGGGAGGAAGTTTCAATTATTCATCTGTCCATTAAACTGGACATCTTGCATCACTGGCTGTATTTCAACTACTATTAACAGTACTACTGCAGCTTTACTGTTCTTGAAAATACTTAATCTGTGATCTGTAGCTTTATTTGTATAGCACATTTCATACACAAGGGCAATTCAAAGTGCTTTACAGAGCAATACAATATAAAACATAATAAAGGATACAGAAAGAGTAAAGAGAAAAAAGATATAAAAGGTAAAATTAATTACTAAATTATCCACATTTTCCTTAAATCACCATTAAAAAGTGCAGACAAGAGGTGCAAAGATAATTTAAAATTATTTAAAACTGAGTTTTAAAATAAGGTTGCAGACATTACAGTATGGAGTAGGCAGTATAAATAATGGGTCTGTAAATGATTTGATTTTTGTAATTAGTAGGGGTAGGGAAAACACTGAAAAGCGTGTTTAAATAATGAACTTCAAATACCTAAAAAGGAATAAAACGCTTTGAAAAAAATCTTGACTGAGGTATTTATAATTCATGCATGAAAAGGTGAAATGCGCGTTTTCGTTGAGATATTTGCCACGTCTGTGGGGAGTCTCCTGTATTCCTTAATTTTCCGACTGCACGTGAAAGCAGCAGCTGCTCCAGACAGGTTAATTATAAGTAGCTATGTGACAAAAACGCCGTATGGCTGCGTTATGTGGTTTTGTCGGTGTTTACGAGCGCTAATCGTCCAAATTCGCAGTGAGTGAGAGTACTGAGAGGCTGGACTGACAAATGAATGATTTTATTTCTAGCGTCGACGGCTGCAAGTCATGAGTAAGCCACCTGATAGTTTGTCTCGGCAGTGATTTGTATTAATGACATGCTTGTTTGTGCCAGTTCACCTCAGTGATTGTGTTGTCCTGCACCTTTTTCTCACTCCTCCAGGACACTCATGCTGTGGTGATGGTGAATTAATATCTAAAGACTACCTGATGACAAGACCAGACCCAGAGCCTGCCTTTATCACCTGCTGTCATCAAACAAATGCAACCTCTTAAAACACACTAGCTCTGCAACTCAGCATATTTCTTGCCTTATTGTTACTTTTCCACTGTACCAGCAAATCCTCAAGCATTATCTACCTGCTCACACTTGCCCAGGTGCTTCCACTGGCTGTGAAAAGCCCCTCCATAGGTTTTTCTTACTCTAGAGAGCCTCTATTCCCAAATGATGCGGACAGACAGCAAGGGCCGAAGCGCCTCCCCTCACAGGATAACCTACAAGTCTGACTTTCATGCCATCAAATGCTCATTTGACACTGCGACCAGTCTACAAACAGGGACCAAAGCTGCTGCTGCTGCCAATCGCTCTGCTGTCCACCCAACCACGCTGCCATCCAGCCTGTCAGATCCCAAAATGTCCCACACCAGCACCAGTGCCAGCACAGGCAGCAGAGGGAGGGTCCACAGCACCAGGGGGACCAAGATCAGAGACAACATCTTCCTGCAAATGGACAACCAGCAGCTGAAACAAGATGGTGTCCCAGTGCAGAGTTATGGCTCCACACCCCTTCTTTCTCCTTACAATCCCAGCCCACAGCTCCAGACTTCACCTTTCTGCACATCAAGGCGTTCAGTCGTCAGCTCCTTGTCTGTTCTGAGCGCTGCAGCCAGCATGTCTGTTCCAGAATCTTCTGTGCTAGATAAACCATCCAGATCAGAGGAGATAGCAGATATTGACAGAGCTGCTCTGGCTCAGAAGTTCTCTGTAACCCGGAGGTTGTTTGAGACCAAGATGATGGAAGTCGGAAGTGGTGGAGGACAGATTTCTAAAGGTGTTGCTAGCAGGGGAAGCAAGGGGATGACGGATGGGAAAGGAGATGGGGAAGAGGGAATAGGAAGAGTCAGCCAAGTCGAAAAAGAGGAAGATGGAAGTGGGAAAATGAATCACGCAGAGGAGGACAGCTTTGATAAAGACAAATCCATAAACCCACCCATCATAAATATTTCCTCTCCAAAGCCTCCTGCACAGGCCTCGCCGACAAGGCACCCTAAATCTCCTGTATCACATGGCCATAGTGAATCATCCAACAAATCTCCCTCCTATCTCGACACACATGGTCAAACCACAGCATCACAAACAGAGGGAGAAAGAACAGCAACTCTTGACCTCTACTTGACCCCTGAGGAGCCAGTGAGGGCAGAACTAGTTGACGTAAAGAATGGGTCGTCAGAAAGCGATGAGAATGAGGAAGAAAAGGAGCGGAGAGAGGATAAAAACTGGCTGAAGGATAAGGGAGGGAAGAATAAAGCTGCAGGACAAAGTGTTCAGGAGCTAATGGATGATGTTTTTGAGGAGCCCAGCGTGGAAACACCATTAGCTTGTGCGCTGGAAAACAGAGTATGTGCCATAGAGGGTGGGCCAGAAGAGCACCAGAAGGAGTTATCAGCCAGCACGTCATGTAAAAGTGAGACTAACAATGACAGGGAGGGTGGAAGAGACAAGTATCAGCAGGTGAATGAAGAATGGGAGGGTGAAAGGGAGGAGCAGAAGAGACAGTTCATGGCATGCACCGAGAAGTCAACAGATAAGGGGGACCACGGGGAGAAAAAGCCTGTTGCAGGAGTGGAAGAAAGTCCTGGAAGGACAAAAAGGGGCATGATGCAAGAGGAGGATGACAAGGAAGTTGAGACATTCAGTGTGGGGAAGAGAAAAGGTGGAGAAGAATGCAAACAAAGTCAAGACGAGAAGGTGAAAGCCGAGAAAGAAGGCTCAACATCTGAGCTGCAAGAAGTCAAGCATGAGGAACGCAGGGAAGGCACTGATGGAAAAGATGATACAGGAGGGGGCAAAGAGGACCAGACAGGACCTGCAGTTGTCTGTGGGATCGAGAACGAGGCCTTTGTATATGAGCAGGAATCCCAGTCTCAGCAGGAAAATTCTGCACATGGAAATCAGCCTTTATTGGGGTGTGAGGAGATCCCTGGTGTGCCTGAACTGTCCGATGAGGAGGATGCAGCAGAGGTTGCAAAGAGAAAGGTCAAGTTCTCCTCAGCACCAATCAAGGTAAGGAAACCTTTAAAGGAAAACGACACAAATTCAGGCTCTCTGCATTTTTTTATTCATTTAACTGACAGCCGCAGGGTCACTTGTCTTTAAATCCATGCTTTTACAGAAGCTCTTTATTGTAGATTTGTGTGACTGTCAGTTCCAGCTGGAGTTTGAATCCATATAAGAGAAGTGTTAGCCCAAAGCCATGTATCTAATCCATTAGAGGAGGAGTAAAAGGCAAGATCCCACATGCTTCATTCTGTCAGCGCTCAGCTCAGAGGTGCCTCGATATAAAAGCACAGAAACATTCCTGTGGGTGTGAATGGCATTAATCTGGCTCACATCATCAGAAACTTTAGAAGTAGCGGTCAGTGTAGGATCAGTAACTGGCATGTGGAAGTTGTGTGTGTACATTGAGATTTTTTCCTTTATATATGATTATGCTTGTACAGTTTGCTGAAGTCTCCGCACTTCCTGATTCTCTCTCTGACTCTCACACTCTGACAGATTTGCCAACATAAACAGCATCTTGTTGTGTCAATAGCTGCAGATGGTTTGCTTTACAGTGCGCTCTGTGGTGAACACATGTACGCGCTGTCAGTGCATGAAACAGTATTTTCAGCAGAGCTACATCTGACATAAGTGTTAACATAAGCTGAAGCTGTACCAGTGACTAGGAATAGTTTGGATTTTTTTGAAGCGGGATTGTATGAGGTTCATATCTATAGTCGGGGTATTACCTGCAGCAGGTGGTGGTCAACACGCCCCCAGTTTGGAGAAGCAGGCAGGGGTACAAGGCTGCAGAAGCTAAGCAATGCACTGCTGTGTACAGGGGCAGCAGCACCACCGTACTTAAGACACCTAAAAAAAAAATAAAAAAATCAGTATCCGTGTACGCTATATTTAGGATATTTCCACCACTTTTCCTTGCCGCAGACAGCTCTTCCTGATGGGGAACTGAATCCATTAATGCTCTCTTTAAAGCCACCAGACTTAATCGACAAAAACAGTAATTTTACCTTGCAGAATACGGGAGCTTCTGGTCTGCCACTGCCTCAATCAGTTAGTTTGTCTTATTGTGTGACTTTGGTGATTCCAAACCAACGCCTTGAACACACCAAGCCGACAATAACACAAACTAACCGATCAAGGTGGTGGGAGACCAGCAGCTGTCATGTTCTGCAAAGTAAAATTACTGGGTGCCTTCGGAATCGCATACTTTCTCTTTTTACTTTTAGTAGGTACTGCAGCTGCCCTTGAAAAGTACGTACTGTTGCATGCAGTATACACACAATTGGGACATGCTACTTTCTCATAACATTATGCCTTGAACTTTGACCCTCTTGTGTTATCACTTACTTGAGTGCAGTTGAATGTTATCCGTCATTGCGACTTCTGCCAGCTGTCAATCAACTTTCATCTCTTTGCGGGTACTGGAACGCACAGAATGTTGTCAAAGGAGGGCTTCAATAATGACTTCAGTTCCCTGTCTATAAGGGCTGTCTGACAGCAAGGTGAGGTGGTGAAAATATTCTGGATAAAGCATACACTTAAAACTGATATCGATTTCTTTAGGTGACTAAAATACATTTTATTGTTGCCACCATCCACAGCAGTATATTGCTGAGCTTCAGTGTCAGTACTCCTGCCTGCTTCTCCAAAGTGGGGACACACCGATCATCATCTACTGTAGGAAATACACTGACTATGGAGAAGTTTGTCCTGCAACCCCACTTTAAAAAATCCAAACTAAACCATATATTGCATGCTATCTTTCAGGTGTACAACACTTACTCGAACGCAGATTACGACAGACACAACGAGGACATTGACCCGGTGTCCGCCTCGGCTGAGTTTGAGCTGGAGAAGAGAGTGGAAAAGATGGATGTCTTTCCAGTGGAGATAGAGAAGGGTGTGTCTAGCTGCTCTTTCCCATGTCTGACTTCCTTTGTTTTTTGTGTAATTTTGTTGTCCTTAAGTGTTTCAAGTCCATGTCAGAACCCAGAAAGAAAATAAATCATGTTACTGGTCATATCTAGCGGCATTTTTCGGAGAGATTTTTTTATGCATCAGAAAATCTGTAGGGTTAATTTAACAATTTAGTGGGACAGCATGTTAAAAAATAAGTCTAGGCTGACACCTAATAGGTTAAAAACAGATAACATTCTCACTTTTCACTCTTAGATTTTTTAAGAGGTGCTTCTATGGTGCCACCTGATTACGCTGTTAATTTGAGGATAAACTGCTAATATCTTTTCCCTCTAGGAGATGACGGTCTGGGCATCAGCATAATAGGCATGGGCGTAGGAGCTGACCAAGGACTAGAAAAACTGGGAATCTTTGTCAAGACGGTCACTGAAGGTGGAGCAACACAGAAGGATGGAAGGTAAGTTTCAACATCAGTCTCTTGGTTACTGGGGAGTGAGTGTGGCTCTAATAAGTTTTCCTTCTTTATTTTTGTATTGGTGTGTATGTATGTTAGGATTCAGGTGAATGACCAGATAGTGGAGGTGGATGGGGTCAGTTTGGTTGGAGTGTCCCAGCTGTTTGCAGCCACAGTCCTCAAGAACACGTCAGGCCTCGTCAAGTAAGTTATCACGTTCAGTATCCCTCCTACTGTTGCTGCTACTTTGGGTTGGTGGAGCCTGACAGCTTCCCATTAATGATTTGAAGGCAAGGTATTACAATGCATTTTTGGCCTGGTATTTTATTTGTGAAGTGATCAGTGACAGTCAGATTTCTAAAAGTTTGTTACATAATTGGAGTTATTTAAAGATGAAACAGTGATGGCAAGATAAATATAATTTTTCTCCCCCTAGATGTTGTTTTTAAAGGACCATACTAGTCCGTTAAAAACAACACCCAGGATGTTTTACCCTGTCAGCTACACATGATATACACTTGACATTGCTCCCAAGCATTTTCCAAAACTATAACACAGTGTTTAGACTGTCTGCCAGCTTTTCAGATATTACCAAAAACTCCACTAGTGGCACTTACAAGAGAGCTTCAACACCTGAGAGTGCGAATGGGAAACCAGCCAGCAAAGCTTTTAATGCCAGAAATGACCACATCAATGTTTCCTCTTCAAGACATCTGTATGAGCTTTTTCTTGGGTTTTTCCAACAACAAAACTTGTGAACACCTCCAAAATGTTGGATAGCTGAGTGTCTGTGAACGCACCAACATAAAGAGAGTATTAAAAACAGTTTATGCCTGCAATTTCATTTAGCTGCTTCAGTTTCAAGGTCCTGGGGGGCCTCATTACAGGGGAAAGATCCTAACTGCTTTTCCAAACTTAAGTTTCAAAGATAGGAAAATTCTATCTTCCTATTACAGGAGCAATTCTTAAACTTACAGCTGGGGCCCTTTTCTAGAGCAAAACGATATGCAAAAAAAGTCTTACTGTGATTATTTTGACGGATATGGTAATTGCGATGATTTTATTGTCATTTTCACTGAAAAATATAAAATGATTTTTATTTTTGCTGGGGTCTGTACCAAACAAACATGTTCCCTTATGTCTGGAATATGATTTGTAGGCTGTAGCACCACAATGTTTCATTTATGATGTTATGTTGTGACACATTTTACCTTTATCAAAAGATTGCAGCTCCAGCAATTTAGATATGGCTCTTGGTCGTATTGCAATTTCATAATATTGATTAATTGTGCAGTCCTAGTCCTATCCTATCTCAGATAACTGTAAATGTTATTCTTCAATCAGCACTCGTCCTGACATGCCTGTATCTTTGATTAGAGTGTGCTGGTTGGCTACTTAGGATGAACAAGCAATAATGCTTCACTTGTAACTGGCTAACTTGCTTGCTATCATAGACTCCAAAAATAAAAAAAAGGATGTTCTATTTTAGCCACTAGGAGGCTTACTGTTAATAATTAATGTAAATTTAAAATTAGTTGTCAGGTGGGGGGCACCCACTAGCTCACCTGGTAGAGCAGGCACCCCATGCACAAAGGCTGTGTCCTCGCAATGGTCACAGGCTCAATTCCAACCTATGTCCCCTTGCTGCATGTCATTCCCCCTGTCTCTCCCATATTCACACTATAGCTGTCCTATCAAGTAAAGGCAATAAAGCCCCAAAAAATATTTGAAAAAAAATTGTCAGTGGGCAGTCAATATGCAATATATACATTTATACATGGTCCAGGAAATATAAAGCGTCATCATGTGCTTTAAGCAACCTTTCAATCATTATACTTTGGTGTTCATGTTGTCTTATCATTGCCATACAGACTTAACAACAGTGCTGCTGCCATTTTTGGCAGTCATTTTGAATTTAAGACAAGGTCTATGCCTTCCTCAATTAGGATTCCTAACTTGTTGGAGCTTGGCAATATATCAACATTATATTGATATTGTGATTAAGACTAGATATTGAGACTAGATATCGTCAAAGATTTTGGATAAGAGTTGTCTTTTCTTTGTTTTTAAAGCTGCGTTATAGTTAAGTGGTGTAATTTTCTAAACTTACCTGTCAGTTTTAGCTGTTTTCTAATTTGCCCATATCCACTTAGTCATTAAGTCCACATTTATGATGATTATCAAACTCATTGTTTGAATACCTTGAATAATACTAATCACAATACAATGATGATGATGTCTACTTATTTGTTGTCTTGTAAATAAATATATTTCCCCCCTTTTTTCTCTTTAGTGTTCTCTGTATTTTTTGTTTTTTATTGGACTATTTTTCACTGACTGCTCAGTGTGCTTCCTGTTGTCATTTATCTTTTGTTGTATTTGTCTGTATAATGTTAGTTTAGTTCTTTTGTCCACTTTTCTCCCGTTCTTTAAATCATTGCCCTTTTTTTTGTTGAGGGGAGGTCCGTTTGTATAAGCCTGTGGCTTCTTGACCTTTACTGATTCATATATTTTTCTATTTTACTATTTGGATTTTATGCAATTTTATGTGTACAAATAAAGAAGAATAAGAAATTCCAATCCTAAAATAACACAATTCCCTAAATACAGCATGGAAACATATTTCTGTAATACCAAACACCCTAAATGTCATCCTAAACTGAGATAAGATAGGATGTCAGACTTAGGAAGCTTCTTTATGCCATCGTTATTGTTATCAGCAGCACCTGTGCTTTACCTGGCTGGGCGATTACTCACAGCTTTCCCCGATTTCTCTGTTCGGCTGCAGGTTTTTGATTGGCAGAGAGAAGGAGGGCGTGGAGAGAGAGGTGGCAAGACTGATCAATGAGAGCTTGGAGATGGACAAAACATCCAGAAAGGTGAGTTTCCTGAAAACAGAGCGGAGTTTTGAATGTGTTGACAAGCGCATGTGGTTTGACTGTACTGTCATCTGTGTGCTTCTATAATATATGAAGAAGGTAAGAGCAAGCACTGATGAGGATACTGACGGCAGTTTGTCAGAGAGGTCACTGGCTGAAGAAGAGGAGGAAGATGAAGAGGAGGACGTGTCCCTTCTTTCCAGTCTGGACAACTACCAGCTCTGCCTCAAATACCAGCAGGTACTTTGCATTCATTAATGATTAACATCCATAAACCAGGTGTGTACAGTGAAGTGTACAGTATACACCAAACCTGCTGTTGGATATCAGGTCATAACTCAATGAAAACAGGACACTAATGTCTCAAATACTGACATTTAAAATATGTATCTCCTTTCATCTAAATTGTAATATAATCAAATGGTTTTCCACCTTTTTAATGTTTTTATAGCTTCAGTCAAAACTACGAAGCAGAACAGCCCAACTTCACCAAGCCAGAGAAAAGGTAGGTCACTCAGCTGAGATTGAGATCACTCTCACACACACACAAACCAGTAACTGTACTCACTTTAATACACTACCTTTGCATCCACATTTGGAACAGTCTGACCCATTTAACTGTGTGTGAGAAGGCTCGGCGTGGAGTTACTAGGACACGGGCCGCCTTCCAACACTTCTCCGCGTCAGCCCTGCTTTTTCTGCCTTTGCCTTGAAGTAATCACCGCTGTGACATAATTGGGTTGGCAAAAGCCTTTCAGTAGAAAATCTGGCTTTCTTCTACCCAACTGTGTTAGATCAGTGAGTGCTTCATTTGTTGTATCAAAACTCCTTGAAGTAAGAGGATTGAAGTAGTGTGCAGTCTTTCCAAGTCCAAGAATAGTTTTTTGCACGTGACTTACAACAAAAGGGGTTTTTTTTTGGAAGCCTGACACCTTGTGCATACGATATTTATCACAGACATACATATAAACATACATAATCTGTTCCTTTACTGTATGTCTACTAAGGTAAAGGCATGGGAGGAGCAGCAGGCCTATTGGGAGAGCCAGAGGGCTGAGCTGGAGCAAAGAGCCGAAGATGGAGAGGAGAAAGCTGACAAACTAGAGAAGTACGATGCTATAGACTCTTGGCTTTGCCTCTGTTGGTGTCCATGTTACTATAGCAGTGATTCCCAACTGGTGGGTCGTGGTCCAAACATGGGTCCAACACAGACCTTGTATTTTGAAGTACCGTGACCCACTGTAGAGTGAGTGACTAACAGACAGCTACTTGACAGAGACAGCAAACTGTCTTGATGGCATGGCCAAACGTAAGTATGATGCCGAATGTTTTATACTGTGTGGACCTTGAACTAATGACTAAGAAGAAATCTGGACCTCATGGCCGGGCCAGTTGGGAACCACTGGCATAGAAGTTTATTTTGTTATGGTAGATGTGACAAATGATTCATTTGTATGTATATACAGATCTAGTTTAAAGGGACAGTTCACCCTCGAATCAAAAATATATGTTTTTCCTATTACCTGTAGTGCTATTTATCAGTCTGGATTGTTTGGTGTGAGTTGCAGAGTGTTGGACATAACCGCTGTAGAGACGCCTTCTATCTCATGTAATGGGACTAGATGGCACTCGACTCGTGGTGCTCAAAGCAGCAAAAAAAAAAAAAAAAAAATTGATTTTGAAACTCAACAGCAATGTCTCTTTCCAGAAATCATGACCCGGTTGCTCAAGATAATCCACAGACCTTGTTGTGAGCAGTTTCATGTAGGAACTATTTTCTTTCAACCAAATTACACCCTCCAACTGTATCATTGTGCAGAAGGAAGCATACATCCACTGCTAGCTCATGTAGCACCACTGAGCTAATATAACAGACTGTTCTAAATCGTGTAACCCTCTTGAGTTGCCGTGGGGCAGGAAAAGTTTTGGGGTGACATTCTGTTGTAGGGGGCTCCTGCTTATGTGAGAGTTTTGGTGTGAAGAAAAAAAGGGCAGCAGTTGCTGTTGGAGCAGTTACATTATCTTCCGTCCCGTTTACTGTTTTAATAATTATTCAGTGAGGCGACCCCAGGACGCTCAGCTACACGAGCTTATGTTAGAACTCAGCCAAGGAGGACGCCTTTAATGTTTTCATCTCGTGCTGTCGCTCCTGTCCATGAGTAGATGCGCACTTCCTTTTGTGCAGTGGTACAGTTCGCAGGTGTAGTTTGGTAGAAGGAAATAGTTCCTACATGAAACTGCTCACAACAAGATCTGTGGATTATCTTGTGTAACTGGGTCATGATTTCTTGAAAGAGACATTGCTGTTGAGTTTTTCAAATGTATTTTTTTGGAGCTTTGAGCACCAAAAGCTGAGTGCCATCTAGTTCCATTATATTAGTGAGAAGGCAGACATTTTTACAGCCGATATCTTCAACACCAAAAACAATCTGGACTGATAAATAATACTACAGGTAAAATATGTATTTTTACTTCTGTTAAACTCTCCCTTAAAGACTGAGTGGGAGCCCAAAGCCTACAAAGGGATAGTCATGTTAAGAAACATTGTGAGGATGATAATGACGGTCACTCTATTTTTCAGGTATTGGCAAGAGGCCCAGACACTGTGCAGGGTTGTGAGCCAACGACTGGCTGATGCCCAGAGCCAATCAGAAAGCTTGGAGGTCAAATACAGCAAGGCCAAGAGACTGGTCAGAGAATACCAGAGCAGGTATCTAATCCATCCAATCCAGTTATCACTCTTCCAATGTGGAGTAACATTACCACATTAACTGGGAGTGTATTTTGTAAGGTAGTTAGACAGTGTGATGTAAAATCCCCCCTATATTTGGAATTAAACTTTTCAAATCATGTTTTTTTTTTTTCCAGAGACGAGGAGAGGGAGAGGAGAGAAGCAGACTTGAGAGCAGAAATGGTGGAGAGAGATAAGCTGCACAGAGAGACAGTTGAAAGACTGCAAATCCAGGTGAGAGGAGACTTCTCAGTCCTGTATGGATTTACTTCACTGAGCCTGCACATTTCTCTGTAGTCATTGTTTCTCACTGCTTATCACAGATAGCACAGCTAGAGAGAAAAGAGCCTGCACCTGAAGGGAAGAACCACTCTGTGGACCCTTCAGTCACAAGTAAGCAGCTAATTTAGTCTAACTGTAGAGCGTACTGTTTATGTGGCTCTATGTTTCTTTAACTTTCTGTAGCTGCTGGCAAGTAAAAAGTTCAAAGCCATTAGTATTATGGTTGACTTCAAGTTATTTTTATTATGGATTCAGAACAGGAAGAATTCTGAGTTTTATGTCATTTCAACAATGTAATTCAAGTAAGAAAATGAAATCTCTTAAATATAACCATGCTCACTGACTGGGCAAAATACATTTTTGTGTCTCGGGTCCAGACTGGCATATTCCAGTTCCTGATACAGGACGTCTTGACTCCAGTGCTCACATAGCCAGAGCTCAGCTGGCCCAGAAATCCAAACGCCACCCACCCTCTCGAGACAAACTCAGAGAGAGCTTCAGAAAACAGGTAAGCGTCAGATCTGTAAAATGAGACCAACTGACACTAAATTTGCTTGTTTCCAACTGTGAAACTAACACACACATGTGCCCCTCATTGCATTTAGGAAGATGAAGTACAGAAAGCACAGGAGAGCCAATCGCTTTCTGCTCCCACAGCGATGCAGAGGAACAGCAGGAGTGACCTGTCTAGTGCCTCATCTTTCTCAGCCCTCAGTCCTCACCCTCCCACCGGCTCCGTCTTCACCCCTCCCATCTACATCAGTGACACCGTCACTCCCTCGCCATGCAAATCCTCCGCATCCAGAAAGTCCAAAAGGAAATTTCCAGACTTCAGGTGCAGGGTCTCTGTCTCTTTCTGTTGTCTTAGATTTAAATCATAATACCATAATATATTTCTCATATTCCCACGTTTAAAGGCCATAGGATTTTATATTTAGATTCCCTTTCAGCCACAGCAGCTGGTTAAAGGTTAACTGCAGTATTTTTCATCCTGGACCATGTTTTCTTATGTGTTTATGTCTAAGTCACTAATAGAGTGAACAGTTTTTGAAACTAGTCTAGTATTGAGTGAGAATGCTGCAGCCACAAGACAAGCTGCAATATCACCATTTGGAGCATGTGTGCACCGTCAGTTTACGTCCACTGTAAGTGCTTGTTTTTGCCATTGACAGGCTCATACTGTTATCGTAACTGTCTGAGAACAGTTCTATAAAGGTCGACCTTTTTGTTCAATAATAAGAGCCTTTTTGTTTAACAAGAAATAGCCTTAATCAAAATCACTGCTGCCAAACCCACCGGACTCCATTTAGATAAACAGTAGTTTTATCATCATAAATTCCACTTAATTCAATGTTCCCACAATCAATGACTCTGGTTTGGTTGAAATAAACCCTTAATTCACCCAGTTACTTGCGAAAATATGCTGGCTCCATACATGCCAAAATTACTGTTTATTTCAATGGAGTCTGGATTTTGCAATGCCAAATTCAGGCCGTTTCTGGTTAAACAAAAAGGATCTTACTCTTTAACAATGAGGTCTATCTCTGTAGGAATCCATTTGATAACATTGTTGGACACTTAAAATAACAATCTGAGCCTGTCAGTGGCAAAAACAAGCACTTAAAGGTGGCATTCTCACTTAATACTGGACCAATTCCAAAAACTGTTGTTCCCATTTGTCACTTAGACACTTAAACATGGGAAAAGGGTCCAGGTTAAAAAACATTAAAGTTACCCTTTAATGTATTGACACTGACTGGTCATTTTGCTGGTGGTATACATGTTCCTGACACTTTAATAACTAGTCTGTTTCTTTTTCAGTGGCCTTCGCAAATCTCTCAGCAAACGGAGAAGTGAGAAACACAGGAAAAGGTCTATGAACAACAGGTAGGTCGTCACATGTACACACAAAAACAAAATGGACTCTACTGTAGATAAAAGCCATTCAAATCTGACGATCCAAGCTCCTATGTTTCACTTGCACACTCCCAAAAGTATTCAAGCTCATGAAACACTTCTCCATCATTTCCAACATCTATTGTTTTCCAGCAGGGGGTCCTGTGGTGACCTGGTGGATGAGCCCACTGGAGTTTCTCCATCAGGCTCAGTCACCTCCATGCCGTCTTGTCTGCCCTTCCCCTGGTTTGGAGAGCGCGGGAGAGAAAAGGAAGTGGACAGTGAAAGAGGCAGGGAGAGACTTCGGTCGGTGTCCAGCAGCAGCTTACCGTACCTGACCACTACAGGTAGAAGAGATCAGGTAAGGAAAGATGGGATGGCCTTCTCTGCATGCCAGCCTCCTCCTCTGTCTCTCTCTGATTTAAATACGGCTGTGTGTATCTTATAAAAATGGAAATCCTTTTTTAAATAAACACATGCATGGGTAAGCAGTGTATGCAGGCAGCCTGGGTGTTTTTCTCTTGGTTCCAGAGTATTGGCTCTCCAGTGGACAGCTCCAGCATGGTGGGTCATGTCTCTGATCACTCCCTTTCTGGACACTCTCATGTTTTCACCTTTTCCTCTACTGAGGTGAGTCTGTCCTTCCTTTTCCTAGCTTTCTTTTTTTCTTCTTTCCCCATGGAGCACTGATTGTCCAATCATTTCTTCTCCCCAAGCATACGCTCTCCTTTAATTACAGTCTACACTCATTTCTTTCCTTCACTTCTCCTCTCTGTCTGCCTTTGTCTCTGGTGTCCTGTCAGACATTGGACGATGACCCAGTTCCGACCAATAACAACAACCAGTGGCAAAGTCGATCCGTCTTGGAGTGGGACAGCCAGCAGGTGTGTCTGTGGTTAATCGCCATGAACATGGAAGAGTATGCGTCTGAGTTTGCTGCCAGAGGTGTGGATGGGGCACAGCTGCTGAACATGGACAGTGAGAAACTCAAGGTGAGCAGTTTAGATGATGCTGAGGGAAGACAATTGATTTCTCAAGTGTGTCAAGCACAGATACACTGATCACATTAATTTAACCACTCTGGAAAATTGTTTTCTAATATATGATGTTTTTTTGGCTTGTTGTCCCAGTTAAAATGTTCATGTTCTCCTTAACTAATTAGCTGTTAAGTCACTGGGCAGAATGGTTTGTTTTCATATTGATATTACTCTTTCTAATTCAACTAGTTAATGACATAGTAGTCCTAATATAAAATAGTAAATGTGATTACACTGTGATTTAAAGGTTTAAAATTAACATGTACTAAATTCACATAACACAGTTTAAATTGGTGTGGCACTGAGTGAGACTGCTTATGGGACAGTTGTGCTTTGTCAGTTTACAAAGAGGTCGACCTTTTTGTTAAAAGGAAGATCGTTTTTGTTTAACCAGAAACAGCCCTGTAATTGCTATCGCCAAACCCACCAGACTCCATTGAAATAAATTAATTATTATCATGGTAAAACACACTTCATTTAAGGTCGACAGAAACAAATAAAAAGTCGCAAAGCCATCCTGGTTTGTCCTTCCACTGTATCAACAATCACCAACTCTGGTTTTGGTTGAAATAAACCCTTAACTCCTTGTTAGGTGTGTAAAATATGCTGGCTTTATTTCCCCCTAAAAGTAATGTTTATTTAACCCTCTGAAATCTGCGCAAATAGGCTTGATTTTCTTTTTAAAAAAAACATGGGAAGAAGGCAACAAGAAACAAAAGAAGAAATTAGCCCAAAAAATTAGCAGGAATTTGTAAAAAGAGAAAATTAAATGCAAGACAATTTGTAAAAATTAATAATAATAAACAAAAAAGTTAAACTGGAAACCTGGAAAGAGTGATTAAAAAATAATTCTTCATAATTTAAAATGTAGTAATAATAATAACAATAATAATAATTAGTTTTTTTCCCCTATTTTATTAAAAATAATTTTCAAAATCTATTCTTTATCTATTTATTTTTCAAATTTGTTGGAAATTTCTTACTAAGTTGCTCATTGCTCGTTGTGAAAGGGAGAGGGTTAAATGGAGCATGGTGGGTTTGGCAATTGCGATTTCAGGGCTGTTTCTGGTTAAACAAAAAGGATCTTTCTTTTTAAGTAAAAAGTCTATCTCCTGTAGGGATACTTTCCATAAGTTGTCAGACACTTGGAATAAAAGTCTGAGCCTTTCAGTGGCAAAAACAAGCACATTTAGTGGACGCAATTTGACGATCCCTAATGTGGTTACATTGCAACTCGTACCAGGTTGAGTAGTAGGGAAGTTACCCTTTAAAAATGGTCATTTAAAGATTTGTTTCCAAGAGCCAGACATTCAGTTAAACATGTGCTCACTCCTTTAGGTGACACATTGTCTCAGAGAAATTTCAAATATATCTTTGGCATATCTGTGCTGCAATATCAGTCGGCAAGGTGACACTGTTCTACTTGAGATAAGATAACATAGACATTGCCTCTCTCCCCCCTTTTTTAATTTAAATTTGGGTTTTGTTGGTGGGTCATTAGCTTGAACCTGTACTGTAGGTTCTCTTTACATTTACATGCCCTGTTTCTGTGTCTGTTCTCTGTCAGGCTCTGGGGGTGTGCAGTCAAAGCGACCGCTCTGCCCTCAAGAGGAAGCTGAAGGAGATAAAGAAAAGAGAGGAAAAAGGACAGAAGAAAGGAGAGAAGAGGTCAAAAGAGGAAAAGGAGAAAGAGAAGAACACAGTTCTGGATAAGGAGGGTGAAGACAAAGAAAAGGCGAGGATGATGATGGAGGGGAAGTCTGTAAAAGACGCCAGACGCAGTGGTAAAACTGTAAGAACTGAGTCACTCTTATAAAAGGAGAGACAGGTGATGTCGGAGATACACCACCAGCATAAGGGTGTGTTTGCAGCCTAACGCACATGAAAATACACTTGAACCCATTTCTATTTAGTCAAATGAAACAGATCTACTGCACACATCCTCTATTGTTCACATCTTTATAGCTATCATTTAGGAAACAGAGCACAGGTTGGTTTTTAATGATACAGATCTTTGGACCAGAGCTGACGCTGACTCCAGCACCAAAGTTCACACTCACAGCACATGTGCATCTCTCGGTATGTGTCGGTTTTTAAGTGTGTGACAAACTGTTTCACAGTGATGTTTTGTTTTTGTTTTTATCATGAACCTTAAATTATCCTTAGAATGATTTTAATATTTAACGATGTGCTGATTTAAGCACTCAGGTATTTGCTGTAAATGCTTTTTTATGTATTAATAAATAATGATTTAAACTTCTTCCTGTTTCCTGAAACTCATTAATTCCGCCTTGAATAATCACACACAGAACACATGCCTTAACATTTTTATTCAGGAAACTTGAAGTGCTCTTATTCTCTTCCTATTTTGCAGCCAGTGAAGGAAAAAGTGAATTCTGCGGAAGCTTGCAGATTTTAAAGCAGAGTGCTCGACAGCTGTGGATAAATTGCAGTTCCTCCTAATAAACAACCTGAGGCATCTTGATCATGATCAACAGTAGAAAGGATTTTTTTTTTTTTTTTTTTAAATTGTCCATTAAGGATAATGTTCTTTGCCACGCCAGGTTGTCATCCAGAGCTTCTCTTCCAGGTTTTCACCGTTACCATTCCTGGGGTTGACTGCTCTCTCCTCGCGTTTGATCCGAACAGCGTAACTGGGAACTTTGTCTTTATAGTTCCCCAAACAATGGGGAAAAGGTTATTTAAAGGCATTCAGTGAAAGCAAAGAGTTGAAGAGACATTTAATGTCAGCCGTCTGTTTGACAGATGAGAACCAATATGCAGCAAATCCATTAAAGGGATAGTCCCAATTTTTTTAAAGTGGGGTTGTATTAAGCCCTGTTTCCACCGAGCAGTACAGTATGGTTCATTTCAGTACGCTACTAATAGAACAATGGCCAAGCGTCAGGGAGAATACAACACTTAATTTGTCAAAAAAAGAAACTATTTGGATTAATTGCACAGTTTAACAGTTATTCTGCACTGCTATTGTTGTGCCTTTGATATAATTTGAAATATCCATAAAACATGTAACTTGGTCAGGGGTCATCAGTTTACTCAATAGTGCCTGTAGTTTCAAACAGCAATAAATAATCACGTCCCTCTCTTGAGTTCAGCACTGTCATATATCAGAAATACCTTTTCCGTTGTGTTTAATTACCTGTGTCTCAGCATTCTGCAGCACTGTGTTCTTTGCTGTGCTATCGACATGCAGAGAAGCCTTCACTATCACCTCCACAAGATGCAGCTTGGGGTAATCCTGTTTAAAGGAAAAAAGAGAGGATCATGTTTAGATGGACACTAAATAAAATACACATTATTATTTTGCTGCACTGACCCTTCTTACTTTCACAAAAAATGCAGGCTTCCTCCATAAAACTCTACATAGAGGTTTTTGTAATAAATACCCTAATTTATTAAGTGTTTTTAGTGCAGTGACTACAACATATGATTTAAACTAATGTTTGTATAAAGTCTGCTGAAAATGTAATACTGCTCTATTATAAAATTATTACATTTAAATTGTATTATTCATGTACATGTTAATAATCAATAAGTTAAAATTCAATTCACATTACTAAAATTCTTGTGTTTGTAAATTACGTTTTAGTTTTTAGTTTCAGTTTGAAAACCCAATTTTTGTTTCTGTTAAACATCACATCACTTGAGACTACTAGAGAAATTATGAAAAGAGAAAATGAGAACTTTTGAGAATGTTTGAAAGATTTAATTTAATTATACAATATAAAAGGGTTGCTACTCAGAGTTGAGTAAGAACACTACATTTTCCTGCAGTCTGTGTTTTTACCTCTCTGAAGGTGCTATTCCAGAGGCGAGAGTTGACAGTGATGACTGCATTACTGTCCATGCCCCGCAGGGGGCATGTTATCCTCACACATTTTGCCCCACTGCCACAGGACTGTCAACAAAGAAGGAAGCACCACTGGATTCCCCTACTACTGGACATCAAATCTGGTAATATAAAACCAAAGAATAAAACTTGGTAGAGTGGAGTTGTTACCAGAGTTTCAGATTTCTTTATGTCAACTAGACATGAAATTGTGCTCTCGTCAATTTCCTGTTTTTTTTCCTGCTGCTCTTCTTGTCCTGGTGTCACTTGTTTGCTTAAAGCAGAGAAGAAAAAGTACTTTTAACTATTACATTTACCTTAAATTGTTTATCTATCTAAATAAATATCCATGTAGAAATGTAAAATTGTCTTTTACCACACACTTGTTATCAAGATTAGGTCAAAACCTAGTAAATGGCTGGACCTTGTATGACAGACTAGAGGGCTTTTAAATTGACTTTAACTTACAGAGCTGGCGTTAACTTTAATTTCAATCAGTGTCTTTTTCCTCATAACAGTGGCGGCACCCATGCTTTTGCGTTTATAGGACTGACGTCGCCTCTGCTGTCCAGCCAAAAAGAAAGTGAAAAAGCATATGTGAAGGGTGAGCATCCACCAAACACTCCATCTGCTTCACTCCAGTGGCGCTGATCTTTATCAGGTAGAGCAGCCACTTCCCCTGCTCAGTCTTTTTGGCCAGTCTATGTTGAGGGTGGTGGCACCAAGGTCTTTCCAACACTTCCAATTCAGTACCTGTGAACCAAGACAGATCAGAGTCAGTGACCTCAGATGATACAGTGTAATTTATTTAACCAAAGCACATATGCCATACATGCTCACTAAGGGTGGGCAATATGGCCCTTAAATAATATCACGATATTTCTGGGTATTTTTGTGATAACGATACTTTATAATTTCGCTTTCAGCCATGCTTGTTGTTGCAGAGATGAAGAGAGTACTAAGAGAGAACAAAGCTCAGGAAAATTTCAGATGTCCTGGAAAAAATTCCTGTTTCCAGTTTCATGTGGGAACTAGTTTTATCTACTGAACTACACCTGCCAAAGGTATCACCACGCAGAAGTAAGGTATATTACATCAACATGCAACAACACTCATTTTCATCTAGGGACACAGAATGAGTACTGCCGTTTCTTCCGCTTGCACATTATCACACATTCCAGTCCACTGTGCCACACAGCAGCCGTATTCACACACAAACACACACATCCGCCACCAAACTGATGTTCCATGTCCTCACGGTCTAACTGAGTCAAAGCCCCCTTTCAGACGCCTGCTGTGGTTGATATAACCAGGCTTTCTATCTCTCTCCACACACACACACACACACACACACACACACACACACACACACACACACAGGCTGCCATTGTGGTTGACGGACAAGGGCAAATGCCACACCCGAGTCTTGACGATGGGCATCCAGCTCCCAGAGTTTCCTACAGAGTAAATCAAACAAGTCAAGAATGTCACCATTTCAACTGATGCTTTGTGGAGGTTTACACTATCAATACACCCGTCTCTCTCTCTCTCTCTCTCTCTCTGTCAGTATGTTCAAGGAGCTCTCTCTTGCTTGCTTTGTCTGTCCGATGACCTTCAGAGTTAATGTTGCCCAGCACACTGTCTTCACCAGATGAGATTAAGCAAAGCCATTTTAGCTTGAACACAAAGCATTCTCAGATACGCACACCATCTGGGAGTGAACCAACCAGGCCTAATGTGATGCAAAGGCATGTCTGCAGCATAGACCTCGCTAGATATCACTGCAAACACCGATGGCATGTGGGAGAAGACTCAAACAGAGACACAGGAAGTGAGGAGAACGGATGGAAAGAGCTCTGCCAAGACACACTGGACTCTGGGAAATGGGGTCTGGGGTAGAGTTGTCAGTCTCAACCAAAGCCTGACAGGTCAGACTGGGTTCGGGCCGAGAACACGGAAAATGCGCGCTCATCGGGCAGGTAGGGCAGGGCTCAGGCTGTGGGGAAAACATTTTTTTATTTATTGTTTTATTATATATTACACTATTAATATCATTACTATTATTGTTTGCCATTGAATGGTGAAGTGCTGACATCATGTGTCAGGGAGTGGCACTGTGATAAGGCTGACCTGCTGCCTCACTGACAGTGACCCAGCTGTTTATCTAATCATTCACCACAAGCAGAGGAAACCCCAACACACAGGCTTAGTCTACAGGAAGGACAAAGACAAATAGAAAGAGTACACATACTGGCAGTGGCACTCAGACACACAGGCAGAGTGACCATTGGAGAGACATCCCGCTGAGAGAGGTGTGTTGTTGTTGCTTAGCAACAGCCAGTGGTACCCGATCAGTAAGACCTCCAAATGGGATGCAGATCCAGAGGTTCATGTCATGTGTTACCCAACTTCTCTTTCCATCCGTCTGCCAGGATCGAGCCCGCTGAGTCTGAATAACGGCTGATATTTGGTGCCCAGATGTAAAACTGATTTACATTCCTCTCAGCATTCTTTCAGCCATCACCTCTTTCTTTTCCTCAAATCTTTTCTCTTTCTCTTTGATGTTGGATATCCTCAATAACAGTGAGTGAAGTAGTGAGATACTACATTCGTCCAATCTCATCCGTGACCATTTCTGAAACCAGACACAGCATGACATTGAGATTACAATTTAACATCCTGGCATGTCTCGCTTTCCTCCTTCTCACAGCGTGTCCCTATATACCCCTTACTCTTACCATATTTACATTTCTCCAGAGCCAGTTTATTTCTCAGAAACACACACACACCAACACACAAACATGCATTTACTTTCTTCCACAAATTTCTCACATTTAATCCAAACTCTTAAACTTCCCCAACCTCTAACTCCTCTCTCCATTCGTGCATTTTTATGTGATTTCCCCTTTTAATTTCATTATACAGACAGCTAAATCTAACAATTATGACCAACCATGCAATGAAACACACACACACACACACACACTGACACGTGCACACATGCATATACATGATCTGCCCTCTCCTGCAGGTACATGTCAATGCTCATCCCTGTGTGGCATTAAAGATACTGGAATTAAAAAGAGTGAATAAAAGTTGGCACCCAGGGCTGGCAAAAGATTGTGACTCACTGTTCACACCCAGCAGTGCAGAGACCCATATGGGGGGACACAAGCACACACACGCCAACACTTACTTCAGCACACATGTTGTGGCAAAATACAATTATTCAAATCACCACCAGCATATACAATCTATCTATACTTTTGCCTCAGGTTAGGAATGTATCAGCAGTCCACTGAGCTCTCTGACACTCAAGGTAACTGCAACAAGGCAACGCCTCAGCGCTCAGCCACAGCATGCATCACACACACACACTGAGGGGAAACACGTGTGCAGGTGCA